GGGGGGGGGCAAGAGAAACAAGATAAAAGAGCGATAGGGTTCAGGTTCAGTCAGTTACCTTTGCTTGTCGCACGTATGCCCGTCTTCTTCACAGTCCGTACCATGAAGGGTTATTGCACCAGGGGACACTTCTCGGGTTTCAAGCGCGTCTTAACCACCACACTCGGTGGGGTCCCTTGTGTATGGAACGTCAGGTTAAGTCACAGACAAGTACTAATATATTATATGTTATAATTTGCAGTCAAAGAAAAACAGGCTTGTCCCGGCCAGCTGCGTGGGTAAAGTAATTAATCCCTTTAAAAAAAGGGGAATGGTTCAATGGTGTTAATCGCTGCTGACTTTGAATCGAGCTCTCGCCATGGGCTGTAAGAGAAGGTATAACTAGATCAATGTCCTCTGTTTTTTGCTTACAACCAAGGCGTCTTTCCCAGGCGAAAGTTCGATTTCGAAGCGGATTCCTTATAAGGCACCTTCTCAGGCGAAAGTTCGATTACGAATCGGGTGTTTTGGTGGCTTTCACTAACGTGCCCTACTATGTTAGAATCGTTGTTGTCCATTCTGTTGAAGTCGAACAAACAAGTGGTCATCGGCACGCTGACCACTCATGCAGAAACTGGGTACTTTATAGGTGTGCCCGATTCTGTGGTAAACGCTATGAACTCCACGTGTTTTCACATTACAAGCATTATCCACAGTCTGTCTTTGAAATCCAAATATTGGGTGGTCAGCGGGTGCTGTGGTGTGGTTTGTTCCTTCGTTCCTATCAAACACCTATCGTCCTTATCTCTCCTCATTCTTTTTTGTTGTTGCGTTTGTTAAACCTATACCTTTTCACCAATCTCTAATCTCCGTCATGACCAAAACTGAGTCGATAGTGCCGTAAAACGCCTACTCAAACAAACAAACATACAAACTCGAATCTTCGGCACTTATATAACCTAATTGTGTTGCGCGTGCCGTAAAACTCTTACTAAAGTAGAGAAATCCAAATTCCATGTGAAATTCCATTCGTATCTGCTTTCAGGCTGTGAAAAGTAATGAAAAGCATTGTGCCTCGAAGCTTGGTCAAAACAGTTGTGAATAGTAGTACCTCAGTGACGACCTTTATGCCCTTGTATATAATATTTTATTTGTGGTCGTGCTTCCTTCTCTTTTCATGTTCATTTAGCCTCTTTTGCTGTGGTATTGAGTATAGGTGGCCAGGAAAGGCTCTCCACCTGTCTCTGTTCAGGGGGGTCTTTTCCACCTCCAGCCGCACAGCTACTGTGTCACATTTGCCTGAGATGTGCCTCTAGGTTGTTTCTTGTAGCTTATTATTCTTAATGTTATTGCCAGTTACGAGTTCGTTGTTATTGGGTGTGTTGTTATTTGTTTAGCCCGGATTTATTTTTGAAAAAATGTACATCTGAATTTATTACCTCAGGAAAAAAAAAGAATGCTGCTTGGTTTTAATTCCACTACTTTCCTTTTGTTCAACCAATTCAACCTGATTTTGCGATTTCCGATTGAGCCTTTCGTTGTACCTTTGGAGACCCCCCCCCCCAACAAAAAAAAGCACTTTATCTGTTCTAAGCCCAAAAAGAAAAAAAAAATTCATCAGGGAAGGG